TTGAAAGATAATAAATAAATTAATTTAAATTTTAAAAATTATTATAAAAAAATTTAACTCTTCTGATTTTGAACTACATTTTAAACCTTAGTTGAGTCTCTAAATGAAAGTGTTCTACATGCAAATCTACATCTATAGTTAAAATTTTGTGATTTTAGCAAATAATAATAAAGAAATTCATATTATTAAAAAAAGTCTGTGAATTGTTAAATTTATGAGCCTAATATAAGGCTCGCAAGCCTACTATAAGGCTTGCGAGTCTACTATGAGACTCAGCCTGAGCTTTATGAGGTTTGGCTCAGCTCAGCCTATAAGGAGCTTTATGTATGCATGTAACAGAGAGCTCCAAGGAAATAACCCATGTGATCATGGGAAAATGGCACCTTGTGTCTACTCCACTAATTTATACATTGTGTCTAGTTAATAATTTGCACAAATTGATTATAAGTTTTTTCCCATTCTTCTATAAGATCATTAAATTATACAGTACTTAATTCGTTTTTTAATATACCATGATATAATAATTCTTCACCAACTAGCCTTTCCCGATTTGTTAAAAATTTATGATATTTTCTAGGGTCTTCCTTCCTATTTATTCCACCTTGATAACAGTGTATATCTTTCTCCAGGTCATCACGGAAGCATCCCATGGCCCATATATTTTTCTCAGCCTCTGTAATAACTGAAAATTCTTCAGGATCCATTTTATGTTTAATGGCATATTGATATAAATTAGTCTCTGGTTGATAAATTTTATTTGGATTAGTTCCAGAAATTGGTAGTTGAGTTTCCGGTGAACTCTGTACAACAATTATAACTTTCTTTTAATTGATACAAAACGAATAATTAAGATAATAGTAATCATTTTTATTTAGATAGCTTCAATCACCCCATATACAATATCATGTATGAACCTCTTTGCATATCGAACATTTAGTTTCCAAATTAGTATATTTAAAAATATCTCAGTGCCCTGCATTCAAATTAGTATAAGACAAGAAATGAAAATGTCTACGTACTGTTTCAATAATTATACTTTTCTCTTCTGAAAACTTAGAAATTTTGATAATACAATTCTGTTAAAGATAATTATCAGTTTTTTCAATTTGTAAAGGTTCGGAAGTTTTAGATATTATTTAGGGATCGAGCTCAGTTTTATTCTTATATCTATTATAGAACCTAAAACGAGTTTTATCTGACAAAATACTTGGTAATTCTAATTTGACTTCTCACTTCAAATATTTGGAAGTTAATATTTTATTGGTATCCATGTTTCCGTTTTATATGATTCTATCCCTTTAAATTAATTATGGGAATAACCAACAAAAAAATAATTTATATTAGAGAAACTTTAAAAACTTAAGTGAATTATATTAGCATAAGATAGTGGAACTAGTGTCATTGATACTTAAGATTTATGCTGTTATCTTGATTTTAATTTTACGTTGTTCACATTTAATAAAACAGGATTCATTTTTATATTTACTTTTTGTATACTTTTGCTTAGTTTCATATCTGAAAGAATTTGGAAAAACATTTTTTAGGTAAATATCATGGCGAAAAGTGGAACAAATTCTTTGTGGCATTTTGTCGTGTATAAAATAGCTGTGTAGAATCAATTTTTGAGGAAAGATAGGTTAAATTATTATCTAAATATGATGATGCTACCAATTACTTATAATGTCAGCTTTATCATTGTCGAGAAGCTTGGGTACTGTGCTTTACACATCGTGCATTTAATGCAGGAATACAAGCACTCAATGGGTCGAATCGTATAACGGGATTATTAAAAATTATATAAATGGAACTTTTTCTCTTATGGAACTCGAATCTGTAATTGAAAAGTTGTTGTTGAAAGAAAGCCAATTTATTAAGTTGAATGAGGTTATGAGTAAGCTTTCTGTAAGTCAAGATGAAGACTATTATAACTATTACTTCAAAAGTGTCGATGTATCTTGTCAACATTATTTGACGCTGGCAATTCTTAAGCTGCAACGTCACGAGATGAACTGCAGCATGCACTATCGATGTCAGATATCTAATTTAGAGGACGAACTTGGAAAACGGGTATAAGTTTCTTATCATGTTTATTTGCATATGGTTTTTATTAAGCCTTTTCTTTGTTGTTCTTCTCACTGAATGTTATTTTTATTCTTGTAGGCTATATTGGATTCACCAGAGGGCATGTTTTCAGAGGATTTGTTCAATGTCTGTGTAATCGAACTTAACCAGCTGATTACAGATCTTGATCGCATAAGAATTCATAAACTTTGACGTATTTCCTTTATTAATAAAAAAAGTGAACATTTCATAATATTATATGACAACACCACACATCTTTGTACGTGCCTAACATTAATCAACTGGAGTCTTGTGTACCACTATTTTTTTGCAGTAATGTTAATTTTCCCAACTGCTAGATTCTATATTGGACTTGTGCCACAACGTTAGCATACGGATTCGTCAGTTATGGATGTGAATTCAGGTTTTCACCATGAGCTAGCTATTTCAGCAACTTCAGATCAGAAATTTGGTATGGTGGAGCATACTACTGAAGTTGATTTTTCGTATCTTGATAATATTCGGGACAACTATGTCTTTACTAAAGAGGTTTGTAAAGAGATGACTCAAAAGTAGCAATTTGGAAGAAGATTTGATATTATGAAGAAAACACTTAATTTAACCATTGCGACGGGAAGAACAGAGGAACTTTACGAAATTCATTTAAAATTAGCCAAGGAAATGGAGACGGAAATTGTCAGTCAAGTTAAGAATAGCAATGATATTATCGAATTTGCTTCTATTATTAATAATTCTATTGGTATCAAGACGAAAGGCTGGAAGCCCAAAGGTTTCGATCGTTTGAACAAAAATCGCAAAGGTAAAAAAAGAGAGACATTTGAAACCAATCAAAATAACAAAGAAAATAATGAAAATAATATTGATGATGAAAGTCACGAGGAATTGTCACATAAAAAGTTTCAAAAAATATTACAAGATAATGGGTCAAATGAATTAATAACTGGCAAAACTAGTAATAAGAGAACGTGCAGTATTTGTAACGAAAAGGGGCACAATGCACAAATGTGTCTAGCAAAGAGAAGCTACAGCCAATTAATTTCAAGATCAGTGTGCAATAGTGAAGGGAAAGTTGAAAAAGAATAAAGACATGTCATTTTTATTCAAAAAATTTTATTTTTCAAAGGCAAAAGGTAAAAGAATTAAAGGTTTACAACAAAAGATGTGTATATAGTATTGTAACTGATTAACTGATGTATAACGTATTTAATAAATTTAATAAAGTTAAACTGATTAACTGATGTGTAACACCCTTATAGTATGATATAATGTAACGTGTATTTTATTTGATTAATAAATTACAAAATCATGTGTCTATTTATTAAATCAGATATTTTATTTCTATTGGTTGATAACCACTGGTGTGATATAACAATGTCGTTATTTTAAACTCGAATATATACGTTGCCCCAATTAAAATAGTTTTTTTTTTCCCTCAAATAATTTTTCATATCCCAAATATTTGGAGGGCCAAAAATAATTTGGAATTTTGAGATATTTTGATCCTCAGATTCCAAATAATTTGACATATTTTGGCAGTCATAATACCATATTAATTTGGGTGGCATGTATATATTTTTTATTATTATTATAAATGGCATTTGTTATATTGTATCTTTTGATTAATTATCACTATCACGATTATATAATTTGTCTCTTGTAATAATTTATCACAAGAGGCAAATTATATAACCGTGATAGTGATAATTAATCATTATATAACCATGATAGTGATAATTAATCAAAAAATACAGTATAATAAACTAGTGATATGATTCAGATATAATTCACGGATTATGTAGATCATCCATCTATACCTGCCACCCAAATTCAAAATCCAAATGCCGAAATCCCAAATGCCAAAATCCCAAATCCCAAATCCCAAATTATAATTAGTATTTTTTGCCGAAATCCCAAATCCCAAATCCCAAATACTAGTAATTTGGGATTTTGGCGTCCCAAATCCCAAATGATTTGGGATTTGGGCAACACGTATACATCCATCCAATTCACAGATAATCTGTTCAATTCTTGGATTATTTTTCATCTACTTCTCCCATTTCTATTCTACCTCTCCTATTTATATTACCATTTTTATATTACTCACTTTTCCCATTTCTATATTACCCACTTTTCCCACTTCTATTATCCACTTTTTCTGTTTCTACATTTTTATATATTATACTTTTTCCATTTCTATATTGTCTACTTTTCCCACTTCTATATTAGTCCACTTTTCTCACTTTTTCACTTCTATATTATCCACTTTTCCCACTTCTATATTAACTCACTTTTCTCACTTTTCCGCTTTTATATTATCCACTTTTCCCATTTCTATATTATCCACTTCTCTATTATTACCCACTTCTCTTATTCTATACTGTACACTTTTTCACTTCTATTACTCACTTTTCCTGTTTCTATATTATTACTTCTATATTATCCATTTTTCTACTTCTATATTATTCATTTTTCCCACTTCTATATTATCCACTTTTCTTATTTCTATATTACTCGCTTCTCCTGTTTCTATATTACTTACTTTTCCCATTTCTATATTAACCCACTTTTCTGCTTCTATATTAACCTACTTTTTCTACTTTTTCATTTCTATATTACCTACTTTTTCCACTTCTATATTATCCACTTTTTCTGTCTCTAGATTACCCACTTCTCTATTATTACTCACTTCTATATTACCTACTTCTTTATTATTACTAACTTCTATATTACCTACTTCTCTATTATTACCCATTTCTATATTACCTACTTCTCTATTATTATTATTTACTTCAATATTATCACTTTTCCCATTTCTATATTATCTACTTCTCCTAATTCTATATTACCCAACTCTCCCATTTCTATATTACCCACTTCTCCTGTTTCTATATTACCCACTTCTCTTATTCTATACTACACACTTTTCCATCTCTATTACCCTCTTTTCCTATTTCTATATTATCACTTCTATATTACCTATTTTTCCGCTTCTATCACAGGTCAAAATTCAAATATCAGATATCGGTCAATTATCAGGAAATCATCGAGCACATGAAATATTTATATATATATCAGGTGCCTGATATCTGCATTTTTTTTTAAAGGCCTGATAGCACTTTTGTAAATTTTATAATGTGCCCGATAGCTATGTGATAAATTTTGTTTTGATCTCAGGTACCTGATATACTTGCACGCAAAATTATTTTGGGGTCACGAAATTACAATTTCGGGAAAAAAAGTCAAAATAGTTTTTCATAGAAGATGAAATTATTTTACTTAAAACTCAAAATTTTTTGATCACCCAGATTTATTCTTTGATTAAAGATACATATAACTAGGTACTTTTTTTACTTTTATATATAGAATAGATTTTGCATAAATCTCAAAAAGTCGAAATATTTCAAAAATTCAAAATCAATTTTGGGAACATGTATAGTGCCCGATATTTTATTAATATCAGGTATATGATAATAAATAGTAATATCAGGAGCATGATATTTTTTAGATTCCTTCAAGTATTGAAATTATAGTAATATCGTGAACCCAATATTTTTAAAGTATATTGGGAACTGATATTCCTTTTCTAAACGGGCGCATGAGAAAATTTTTTATTTTAAATTTTATATAATCTATCAGATCCCTAACACTATATTTTAATTAAACTTAATTCATCTTTATGCAGTATACACTTAAAATTCAAGTTTTCTACTTGAAATTCTTTATTATAATATAAAAAAAAGAATAAATT